ACAGAACTGATAACCTATGTGTACAGAAAAAACAAACAAAAGAACCTAACGTGGTTCTTTTATTCACATAAATGCAATAAAAACTTTTTTTTCTACTTTCATAGTATTCTTGATATTATATGATCAAAAATAAGTGTTAGGCATCATTTCTAAACATAAATACCCCACAGTTTTTAATTTTCGCAGCATAATACCAAGAATACAATAGAAGCTGAAGAAAAGTTTCTTTTTCTTCAGCTTTTAAAGAAAATTCTTTTATTCATATGTATGACTAAAAGCATTTTCTTTAAAAATATTTTTATTTTCTACATAATTGAAGTTTAGACTATTTACAAAAAGTCAAAAATAACTTTTTGAGTCTCTCTATCTCTTTTACACTACCATAGAAGTAAGTTTGAAAATTGCTTTTGAAAAATACTTCTTAAACACGGGTAAAAATTGGTAGAAAACTTCACAATGTTAAAAAAAGATCAAGTGTCAGCCTTTTCTTGTAGGTTCTGACACTTTAACAATTAAAAACACAAAAGAATTCTTCACACCATATTACTTATCCACTTTTTAAACTGCTTCTGGCCCTCTAGTGGTGGTTACGAGTATCTACATTATTTGCATATAGTTACAATTTTTGTGATAACTCATGATGTATTTAAAACTGTTACTTCTATGGTGGTGTAAAAGGGATAAAGATAGACTTGAAAAGTTATTTTTGACTTTTTGTAAATAGTCTAAACTTCAATTATGAAGAAAATACATCCTGAGTTATCACAAAAATTGTTTTTATTTTCTACTTTTTTGTTTTAGTCCTCTTCACTTCAATCAAATGTAATTAATTTAATTGTTGTAACTTAAGTAATTATTTTGCAAAAAATTGTTTACAAACTAAAGAAATGTATTGTCATTGGGAATACATATTTATGTAAAGTTCAACTAAATTGGAAAGTGGATGAAAAAATTGAGTTACATGATCTTATATAGACAGACTAAAAAATGAGTAAGTTAATAAAAATTTATTTTTGAAGAAAATATGTTTTTCAAAAGAATCGATGTAGTTAAAGCTGTTATCAATACTTGTTCTAATTCAAGAATTGCTGCAATAATAATATTAGAATGTTCAGTATGAAGTATGAACAAAAAAAAACCGAAGCTTGAATGATATCTCAGTATTGAGAATTTCTGAAGAAAATCATCAGTTTACAAAATTGTTTTCCCGAATTAAACTGGTAAATATTCAAAGGCATTTCTTCCATAAAGTGTAAAGTCCTACTTATTTGTTTGTTGTATTTTTGTTACATGTTGAGATACTCAAAATATTTTTTTAGTTTATTGACATTTTTTACACCAATGTTTGAATGTCTTTGCAAATTGTTTAATTCATTCAAATAACCTTTTCTTTATCAAATGACTGGGGCTGCAGCAATTTCCTGGAGGTATAAAATATTCTCTTTATAAACAATTGTTGATAAAATTAAAATTTTTGTTGTAAATTTCTGTTTCATGAAATTTTTTGAGTAACTTACAATATTTATTGAAAAAGTTTTCATTTGAAATAGATGTAGTTAAAGAAGCAATATTGGTTTGATTATATTTAATATGGAGCATTATCAAAGTCTCTGCTATGTGATTTACAGAATTGTGTTCATTCTGAAAATTTCATTGATAGATTTTTATTAAAGTTTGCTATTTTTCATTAATTGCAATGAGAATCAAAAAATGTAATAAAAAAATGGAGGTCTATGACTTCATTTTCGAGATACAATGGGATCAAAGTGATAATTCAAGCTACAGATTGAGTTGATTGCTTTCATCTGAGAACAAAGCAATTGACATTGATTGCTTTGTTCTTGGCTTTTCTTCTCCACAGCAGCAAGTGCAAGGATTGTCTCCATGGAAGCAAGAATAAGAATCACTTTTGTGATTGTCGTGTGCAAAGAACACCAGTTTATGCCAAGCAAGTGTAAGGATCGCCTTTATCTTTCTGACTCTGTCTCAATTCTATTGTAATACAACAAAATGCATGATGTCCTAGTAATTGATTACAAGAAAATATTAAGTGAACTGTGCAATTGTATAATCTAATTTGATTTTTCTCCTCTTCCATTACTAATATAATAGCTGTTATCTGTGTTTGTGAATTCCTTATAATCTTGCAATTTTTGTCCAATCCAGATGAAATTTTGAGATTATATTTGTTTTATGTTCTGATGGAAAGTATAGGCTACCTGATTTCAGATTGGAGATTGCACTTACATTGCAGTGATGTCAACGACCATGTGACGCTTGTGCTTGATGAGGGAATTTCCTTTAAGTTGCATTTTTAACTATTTTGGCAAATGATGTATTTTAAAATTACTTCATTAAATTCTTCATTAAATCTCTACTTTTTCATAAAAAATATTCTGTCATGCTTGACGGGAGAATTTCTAGTATAATATAATATAGTTTATTTTGGGAATGCACTGATCTTTAGAATTTAGAAAAGTCATTTCCCCATCACTTAGTATCTCTAACTAGTAATTTAATCAGATTATGGACTTGGTCTGGATCATTGTGTCCTTGCTCCTTTGGAGGTTCTTTGTTTGTGAATTGACAATTTTTAATTTACTTGAAGAAATACAGTAGAGCATCGATTATCCGACCCCCGATTAACCGTCACATTGGTTAACAGACCGTTCTAGTTGGCAAATTCAAATGTCTGCTAGTGATGTGGCGCTACAATATTTGGCTATGTTTTGGCTACTTTAATAGTATTTTTACATGTTTTAGCTGACAACATGGCTTCAACATGAAAGGGAGCCAGTATTTAAACGAGGCTTAATTTTCTAATTTTTAACGATACAATAGTGACGATTATTATTTAAAAAAAATTTTTGTTAGGCTTAACATCGATGAAAATTCAACGCGAAGTAGGTTAATAGCGATATACTAATTACATGAGATATACTAATAGACTGTACTAATAATGTATTTTTTCATATTTTTCGGTTATCTTTTGATTGTGATGCATAATTGGTTCATAGATGCAATTATAGTTTAATGTCTATTTTGATTTTTTTGTATTGTGTTATGGTGAAAGCATTACATTATATAAAAGGGTGTTCTTAATAAGATAAGACCTGTGCTGTGGTGTGAATATATTTATTCATTCATAACTGTAAACATAATTATTAGTGCACCTTGTAACATATTACTATTCCATGTATTATCTATACTTATCCAAATGTTTGTTCCACTGGTACATCAAGGCACAGAGAAGAGTCAAGGTCCTACAGCCAGGACATTATGACTTGCTGAATTTGGCCATCAGTTGCATATCATTTTTCTGCCTGGGGCTGCTTTAAAAGCTTGAAGAAATGGAAATCACTAGGTACTAGGCTAGACTGTGAGAGGGCTGATCAATATAACTCAACTAGTGTCACAACTTGTATTCAGTGTGTGATCTGGCATTATGATGTACAATATGGCTTTGTAACTCAGATTAAGAAATGGTCTACTACAACTGGTCTGAGTAGTCAGTGTTTCCTTGATTGAGAAAATCAAGAACAATGTCCTCAGTATCCAAGGATATTGTTACTCACTATATATAAAATGTTTTATTGAGTTTTGAATTTTTTTTTTTTTTTTGCCAAAGGAAGAAATGTTTTAGTTGTTAATGCTTACTGACATTGTTAGAGAGTAATAAATACATATGTATTATGTAACATTGCATTGCTGATTTTGCACTCCTCCCTCATGGTAATGCATCAAATGCAAAAAATTATAGCAGATTTATGACCTTTGTGAGTTGACTCAGTATCCATTGGGGACACTTTCCTTTGTTCATGATCTGCATGGCACCCAGTGAAATGTTACTCATTTGCAATAGCACTGAGTTGTGTGTTGGTCCTTTTAAACTGAGACTTTAATGAAGATAACGTTGTCATTTGTGGCAAGTATGCTTGCATGGGATGGTCATTGCTTTTCTGTAACCTGTCTTGCTGTTATTGAAGACATTGCACCAAATCCAAACTGTTTCCATGACATGAATTAGATCCATACCTTTCAACAAGTTGGCATTGAATTTCAGTGACATGCTCTTGTGGAAATAGATCATACTATGCATCTCAATATAGGACCATGTTTATCCAAGTCCTGCTATTTTAAAATGGATATTGAATGGTAAGATGATAATTGGCACAGTAATGGCATGGAGAGGAATCAATGCTTTAGATTATCAGTCATCAACTGGTGGTTCACTGATGGTCTGTGGAGAAATTTGGACATTGATCAATTTAAGGTTATGCAATGAATTATGAAAGAAATACAAAATGCTCGGTTGCTTTTTCTCACTTATTGGGGTTTTTATTTGAATTTAAAACTAAACACAAAATGACTATTATCAATACATAATCAACAATAAATAATATATGTAAGTGTGATTGTCAACCTTTGTGGAAAAGCGACAAGCATCCATAAACTTATTAAAACAAGTAGCAACAAACTTCACACTAATTTGCTATAATTAGACAAGTGTATTTCATAGTAATAAAGTAAAATACAGTAAAATGGAACTTTTATGATCATTATTCTATCATTTAAAAAAATTCACAACAATGGTCCACAGGATTCAAAATTGCGAGTTTAGTGGTTCATAAGAGGTTCATAAGATCAGAAAGGTTGGCGACTGCTGCTCTACATAATCTGCCCTAATGAGACATATCAATTAAATAAGGAAATTTACACATGAAAGGCTTTAGTTGGTTTATTTATTAAGACTTATTTATTAAAATTTTTCAGAATATTTGGTATTTAATGTGTGATTTTAAATTTTAATCGTTTATTATTTTGCTATATTATATGATGTTCCTGATACAATTTTTATTTTGGCCATAATAAAATGTTTTTAAATTTAAACATTCTGAAATCACTATTAATAATACTATGTTAATATGTGATAAATTTTAAAATGTAAGTTAATATTTGATTATCTAATTATGCTAATTTTATAAATTAAATTTTTGCAGTTATTTGGCCTCGTATTTATAATCATTGGCAGTTTGGCTTTAGGAGGAGTGAAAGAGTTCTCAAAACTTTCTTCAAATTTACATGCACCAATTATTTTGTTAATTGTCTTGGGATGTGCTGTCCTTTTGTTGTCTTTCTTCGGTTGCTGTGGTGCCATAAAGGAAAATTACTGCATGCTGATGACTGTATGTATTTTTTTTTTTTAATTTTAATACTAAATGTAGATTCAATTATTTTCAGGAAAAATTATTTATTAAATAAACATGAAAATTAGTTTTAATTTAAAGATATAAGTAATTAATGGGATGTGCTGTCCTTTTGTTGTCTTTCTTCGGTTGCTGTGGTGCCATAAAGGAAAATTACTGCATGCTGATGACTGTATGTATTTTTTTTTTTTTTTTTAATTTTAATACTAAATGGAGATTCAATTATTTTCAGGAAAAATTATTTATTAAATAAACATGAAAATTAGTTTTAATTTAAAGATATAAGTAATTAAATTAATTTGAATATTTTTGTAAATAACTAATTGTTTTCATTAATTTCCCAGCATTTGTTCTTTTTCAAACAAGTGCTTCCAATCCTTCATAGGATGATCAAAAATTATAAATTATACAAATGTATTATACAAAAATTAGCAAATGAATTTAACAGAGAATGAAAAATAAATTTTATATATGTTGTCTATATTGAACAAATTTAACACATCTAAAGAAGAAAATTGCTGTTTTATTTGTTAATTCAGCAGTTTTTCATCCATTTTTTTTTAAGCCTAAGGACTAGTAAAATGTTTAAAAATATTTTACATGCCACTTAGTTATGTAGGTCTAATTTTTTAAACCTATGTGAGTATTTTCAACATTTGGGACACACTGTGCTGTTTATAACATAAATCCAAAAGCATGTTTTGAATAGCTATGGAAACATAATTAATCAAATTGGAAGTAAACTAAAATTGAATCATCATTGAACAAAGTTTTAATCTTTATTAATTTAAGTCTCTCTGTGGAACATCTGCCTATCATCATAGACTACAGGTTGAGAAATGCTGTGTTAATTTATTAATACTGAGGATAGGTGAAATTAATTAGGAATTGAGAAATTGTTATAATTTTTGTAACCATAATATAATTATAATAAATTTTATGTATACATATACATCAATCAATGGAATTTTATAATTCTTATGTTGTTGGTGTGGGCAGTGACTGAGAAAGACTGCTTGTGGTGGTAAAAAAAAAAAATGGCTGACCACTTATCTGTATGGAGGTGAGCGCAGACTGCTGTATGCTATGAGGTGTGGAAATTAGTAGTTACTGTCCAGAAATGTTGGCATATGGTGAAGGGGCATCATGCCATAATTCATCCAGAACCAGTCAAGAATAGTCATTTCTAGCCAAAATGGCTTAAGTTCTGTTGTGTATGCATAAATCTGCATCCATCTGTCAGTCCACATCAATATGAGGATTATGTGTTATTGGCAGATGGCACCACTGCCCACATTGAATTTTAAGGTATGCATCCATGTTTTCATTTAATAAGGTTAATGTCAAATAATTTATTATTTTTGCATTAGAAATAAAGAAATGATAGCAATTTCTCGATGCTATTTACTTTCCAACCATCCTGTATTCATATATTTATGCTTCTGATGCATAGACCAAGAACATTGTTTTTATTATGACCATTTGATATCTAAAGTTAGCTGCCACTTAAAATGATCTATGTTTACATGATTGAAATCTAACTACAATCAAGTTTAACCTGATGATTTTTTTAAAATTTGAATGGGATAGTTTGGTAATCTCAATAGTCTTACAGCTGAGTTATTTTAGCTATTTCTGCAATGGAGTTAACCTTTTTCTAGGGGGTTAATAAAAAATTATTTGATAATTTTAGTGAAAATAAATTGGTTCAATTAATTTTATCTACAATATAAAATATTAGTATATTTGCAAGAGTATGTGTGTAGAAAATTAGTATGTATAAATATTATAAGAACAAATTTGTTTATAAATATTTTATATATAGTATCTGTTAAATTTATTAAGAATTTCAAGTAATATGATTAAAACTTATTTTTCTTTTCAGTTTTCTGTTATCATATTTTTGATATTCATTGTTGAATTAGCTGTTGGAATATCTGCCTATGTATTCAGAAATAAAGTAAGTTATTTTTTTTTTCTTTTGGACTCTAGTTGTTATTTTAGTAATCATTATGAAATCTCAAATATTAGGAATGATGTCATTATTTATGTTAATACAAACATTCTGTCATTTGCTAATTGATGATAAAAACTTTACTGAGGTCTTATTCATCCTGTGGTAAATAGTCACTAATATGAAAATAATTCATTCTGTATATTGATCAATGAAGTAAAATCTTCTTTTTATCAGTTGTATTATAAATATTTTGGGAAATCCTGTAAAGCTGAAACTTTTGTTACAGTAATACACAAACCTTCCTTACACCTTTTCAGCAATTATCTTCAATAAACAACTGTTAAAATAAATGTTTGTTATAGATTATTGCTGTAAAGATGTAAGGAAAGTATTGTGTTTATTATTATTTCATTTATAAACAACATATTAAAATTAAGGTTGAACATTTTAATTATATTTATATGTTTGAGAATGTGATAACAATGAAATCAAACATTTTTTAAAATAATGCATAATTTTCTGTTCTTTAGTTTCAATAACTATTCTAAGCTATTAATTTACACTTCTAGATTTTTAAAAAATAAGTGAAAGAATAACTCAGAGCATTCCATATTATTGAAATTTACTGTGAAGGAAAAAATTTTTATTGGTACAAATTAGTTTTGGGTTAACAGTGAAAAGACAAAAAAACTCATCCCATGTACTAAGGAATCTTCAAACTAAATGATGATGAAAGCTATAATTCTCTAGACTCAACTGTAGATTTTAATATTTGATAATTAAAGGTATGAGATTCCTAGCAAATGATTATGGAATGACTAAATGCAAAAGGCATTTGCATGATCAAAGCTTATTCTTTATGCAAGATTCATTGAATTTCTTCTTTCAAATTTTTAGTTTCAAAATATGAAGAAAATAGAAAATGTTCAGTCAGTGAAATATTCTCAAATTTTGCAGTATAGTTATTTCAAAGTGATTTTTTTTCCTGTATTTTACCCACTTAAGAATGATATATTTGGTTCAGGTGTGAATTTTTACTAATTTCTTAACCATTTTCAATATGATTTGTATTTTTTCATTCAGGTTCAATTTAAATTGTTAAAAATGCAAACACAAGTAACTTGCAAAATATTTTTATTTCAAAGCACTTTCTGTGAACACAGTAATGGTTATATATGACATTAAGCATACACTCTCATGTTCTCTCATATATTATAATGGTTTTTGTATAACTATCATATATAATTTCTATAATATTACATATAGAATTCTATTATAAGATATTGGAATCCTGAAAATTGCTTATGTCTTAGTCACTTAAATTGGTACCTTTTTCATGCTGTTTTAATTGCTAATTCAAGTAACTGATATGGAGTATGTTATAAAACAAACTCATAGAATATAACATATAACTACTATCTCTCAAAATTTACAATAAACCAGCAACGAATTGCTCAACTTTCCGGAAACATTTAAAATTTTGGTGCTGACATTTGTTATCATATTTTATTTTAAAAAAAACTTTTATGTTTTTAACTATTATAAAATGGCAAAAAGCTTAATTTTGAGGATGAGTTTTATAAAACAGGTAAACATGACCTCGTTATCTCCCCATTCCCTCGACATTTAACCACAAAAATTAAATAGCACCAATGCTCCTAATAAACAAACCTTGAAAATTTCAGAACTTCTTGACAAAAAGAACAGGAGTCAAGCTTCAAACAGGTTGAACCAAATCATGCCCCCCGCAAACACACACGAACATTCATACACAGAAATTACCCTTGAATTTTTATGTTTTTCTTGATATTTCAAGATGTCCTAAATCCAAAAATGTAAAAATTTGGAGGGGTTTTTCTTTGCCAGATTGCCACTTTCCCGCTGTTATAACAGCCAGGAAAGTGAAAAATAAAAGTAGCTCAACAGTTGGCAGTAATGTTAGTTAGGAAACACTGCTTGATGGTCTGGAAATGTCAGTTTTACATTGAGCAAAGTTCTATTTTCAGAAATATTTCTAGATTGAAGTAGTATTAATCATTTTTAAAAACTTTAGTTTTTAAAAACGATTACATTTATTCCATCCTGAAAAATAATCATTTAATAATTTTTTAATTCGCTTAAAAATTAAAAATCCAGTTTTTAATTTTTACAGGTAATGAACATTACTGATCTATATAATCATTTAAGATTCTAATGTGAAAATTATAGAAAAATTGTCAATCTTTATTTTTTTAAAGTAAAATTTTATATACAAAAATTCTTTTGTAATTTGTTTTCTAGAAGTTTAAAAGCAGAAAAATTACCTTAAAGTACTTAAATTTACTCTTCTCTACTTTCACTTACAAATCAACAAACAACAAAAACCCTTTAAGATTCAGTCTTTTACTTAAACTTCTAATGCTTTTAGTCAGTTGAATGACCTTCAGGAAAAATCAAATAATTTTGATTTAAATGAACAAAACCTATTTATTAAATAAAAAGATTGCATCTTAAAGGGTTTTGTTATTAAAAAACTCAACTAAGATTAAAAATTTTCATGCATAAAGGAATTTTACATTTACAAATATTAAAGGAAAATATTTTTTATTTTAAAATTAAAATCATGTGTAAATGTCATCATCTTCAATATTGTAAATTTGCTTATTTATAATTTAGATATCTGATAATATAAAGAGTGTTTCTAAAGATTTATTGGAAAACTATAATAAAGATGCAAGTGACAAAGACTTTTGGGATGACATACAAACAACGGTAAGATTGTTTACTTATGTTGTTTAATAAACCTTTTTATTAAACAAGTGATTTGTTTGATTAAATATTATTTAAGAACTAAACTCTAGAAAAGAGAGAGAGAATTTTTTTAACAGCTTTATTTTTTACATAAAATAATGAAAAATCAAATCAGGTTTGTATAAGGTAATACAAAGCTGATTTGATTTTTCATTATTTTATGTAAAAGATAAAGCTGTTAAAAAATTATGTATATAATGCACATGAAACACAACCTGTCTACTATTTATAAATAATCAATGCAACATTATTAGTTGTCAAGTATAAAGGTCAAACAACCTTTTATGAATTGAATATTTTATTAATTGAATTTTAGTGATAGTATATAAAATATTTGATATTGACCACTTCAGTGTAATTTAAACTAGAAGACATTTTAAATTATTTGGTATTTTAGTTTATTGTTTTGTGATGATAATTCATTTTATAAGATTGATATATATGCAGTTATGAAATACAAGTGGAAAAATTTAGTTTTAATACTAGGGCTGGTATTTTTTTTGCCTACTTATAAGGACCAGCATGGGTCTATTTGGCCCCAGATACAAACTGTACTAAATTTAATAAATATTTGCCTTTTTAAAATAATTATTTGTAGGTTCAAGTTTAATTGTTTTTCTTATAGGCAACAAACTTTTTTATTTAACACAAGGAGCATAAGTAACTAGAAACTTTTCTGAACCTTTTCCACAGATACAGATAGCTTTGTGGACAACAGAGAATATTCAAGTGTTTTGTTTGCATTTGAACAAAACTTGAAGACAACTTTTTCTGTATTTTTTGTAATTTTGCCTTGAAAGAATGCTAAAATTGTAGATCCCTTTTCTTAATTTGCTTTGATGAAAATTCCTCAATGATTTAAAACAGAAAATGCTGGAAGGAGATTTTTTTTATGTCAAAATTTTGTAGATAATCCAAACATTGATTGCTGTCTGGTTTAAAACATATCCAAAATACTATAATATGCTTCTTATTTAGCCTTGGTATATACTTGAGCACTACGTTTGCCTCTTTACTTGTGGACTTATTACACTGTCACTGGACACAAGATCAGCCTTAGAAAATCTGTTTATTTTCTCAAATAAGTATGCATTTTGAACCTAAGTTCCTCATCAGCGTTTTTTTTACAAATATTTATGAAATATTTGTGTCAATTTCATAAATATTGTAGAAAAAAAAGCCAATGAGGAACTTAGGTCCAAAATGCATACTTATTTGGAAAAATAAACAGATTTTCTAAGGCTGATCTTGTGTCCAGTGACAGTGTAATAAGTCCACAAGTAAAGAGGCCAACTTAGTGTTCACAAGTGTATTCTAATTGAATATTTTCAAGCAATTTGGTTGAGAATTTTGACACTGTCTTATGGTAGAAATGAACTCTACTAGCTTTTTCCCCCTTTTGTTCATTTGACTATGTAGATGTGGAAAACTTAGTATAAGCAAATTTGTTTATTTTTTTCAAGATTATATTGTTTGGTCATTTCAACAATTTTATCTCATAAAATGGTGCTTTTGAGTTTGACAACATTTTCTAGTAATAGTAAAGATTTAGTCTCTCTTTTGGGCCGTGTTGTGTGTTAACATCAACAAAAAGCTAGTCTCAATTCAAATTTCTCTGGTTGGCCATGTAGTATATAAATTTGTGCTGTGCTTTGTTGGGAAATGTGTGTTCATCTACAGTAAGGTTTTTTCTGTCTTGAAACATGTAATACAATTTTCAATGAAGTTGTACCAAACAGTTGATACTAAGTAGAACTGTCAGTTTTGATTGACAATTTAATAGATTTAATTTAAATACAGGTATCTTGTAATTCCTTGAAGCAATTTCTTGAGATTTTAAAATAGAAGGCTCTAAACTCAGGGCAACAGTCTAAGTCAAGTGCTGGAAATTTATGCATCATGTGCATAAATGAAATCTGTAAGTGTTTCATTCTGTTGGACTCTTGGTGGAATAATAGACATGAAAACTTTGGTAGATACCAATAAAATCTTTTTTGATTCACTAACACAAGGTGTGTTTCTATTTCAACACTTGGCGGTATTCCATCTTTATTTAGTCGATATGGTTACAAGTATGACAACATGTTTCGGACACTGCCCCTCCTCAGTCAATGTGAGAGTTGTTCTTGATAACTTTTCATGATGGCTTCCTTTGGTGATCTTTTCTTTGATGAAATTTGCCATTTTTATGTAATAATCCATTTGAAATCTGTTATCATACTTGTAACCGTATCAACTAAATAAAGATGGAATACCGCCAAGTGTTGAAATAGAAACACACCTTGTGTTAGCGAATCAAAGAAATTAAGACAACGCGGTTTCAGAAGATTTCACCAATAAAATCCACAAATTTGCATTAGTAGTGTAGCTCTGCTAGAAGGTCTACATTATAGATTTATTAGATTTTTTCTTGACTATCTTGACTGATCTAAATTTTCAAAACAGTGGTTTTATTGTCTCATACTAATTAGATGATTCTTTATCAACTTGTGAATTACGTTTTAAGTTCAATTGTAATGTGTAATTGAATGATAATAAGACTTAAATTGTATGACAAATTTTCACTTATATGCATCAATAATCTTAAAATGAAGTTTATAATTTTTATTTCATTTGAAAATACAGGTTTTTTTATTATGATATACATTCTAATCAGTATCTCTTAAATGTAGTACAACTGTTGTGGTATTGATGGCCCAAGAGATTGGAATGGAACCTTTCATTTTCCTGACCTACCTAGTTCATGCTGTGTTAAAAATGAAACAACATGTACATATGAAAGTAAAAGTGTTCGAGTTGAGGTATGTATTATTATTAAATTAATTTAAAGTAATAGAATTATTTTATATTGTATACATTGAATAATAATAAATCATTAAATGATGATCTTCGATTTCTCACAATGATAATACAATTTAATAAAATTAATTTCTCACTGTTTTCAAACACTGAGAATGTGAATATGTGAGTATATGTTGGAATATTTTTAAATTCCATGAACAAATAAAAGTATAGTTATCCCTTGTTACATATTGATATCAGTTTCAAAACATTTTGTAATTTCAAAAAAATTAAAGTACATACTGATATAAATCACAGTGTACATAAATCTGATTCAGTCACCATGTACATTATCATCATAATCAATGTGATAATTGCATTCTATAATTAAAGAAATATGTTTTTTGACTTCAGTTTTTTAAAATTATAATTTAACCTCTTTCAGCCATTTCTTTAAAATTTGAAAATTAATCAACCAACCCTGAATCTTTAAGGGTGGGAAAAGGTGAATCTAAACGGGAAAAAGATGATATAAACCTGGTTTTTGTATCAGTTGATTCTTAATCTGAATAAATTACTATTTAACTACCATAGTTACAATTGGAAACAAATCTTTAAAAACTAAATTAGATGCATGCCTAAAATTTTATTGATTTAGTTTGATAGGCTTTGTGAGGGAAAAAGATTTTTAGTTAATCATGTAATACAAGGGATACCTGTAATAATATATATTACATTTCACATTGTCTGGATGTCATTTTTTACCTAATTTGATTCAAACAACCAAGATAAAAAAAAATGATTATTATTCTAATTTTAAGAAATTTAATTAAATTTAATAAATTTTTCTTGTAAGAAGACAGTTAATTGGGTGATCAATGCATCATTCTAACTCAGTTGTGAGATAGTGATGAATTTATTCTGATGATAAATTTACATGATTGTCTAAAGAGAATTGATTTGTATTTGAATGTGACATAAAATATGAGAGCTAACTTATAAACTCAACAGAAATGACTATGCTTATACAAAATAATTTTGTTATTAACAGTTTGATGTATCAAAGTTTGTCATAAATTTTGACAATTTTAACTGTTTACTCTAACTTTAAACTTGCATAAATTTTACATTTCATTATATGCACTTAGTTACGTAAATTGAATGTTCCAAAATCAAACACACAAGCTTGTGCTCATTTGGTAGTGATCAGAAAAATTTAAAGAAATAATTCATATTCAAAAAATTAATTAAATGAACACCAAAATATATTGCTATGAGTATTGTACAGTTTTACAGTATTGTAACTGATGAAATAAGTGCAAACAACAAAAAATTATTTTAAACATATAATTGTAAGTACTTTTGGTCACATTTTACATTCTCTTCAACAGGCTATTAGAACAAAGTAATGGAATAAGAATATAGAAACTGAATTCAAAATTGCTTGAAAAACATTAAATAAAACACTGTCACCACATCCAAAAATTAACAGCAATAAGTAACTTAAAGTATAACACATGCACTATTTCATTTAGCATATAATATTTCAACAGTTACATTATCATAAGACAATTCAGTGCCTATAATGGAAAGTACAGGGTCTTCCAAAAAGAATCCTACCATTTTAAATTATTGTAGTTACATTAATTATTATCTAGAAATTATTTAATTTACATTAAAATATTAGAAAACTATCCCAAGTTTTATATATTCACCCACTACAATTTCTCGGTTCCTATTTATCTTTGTTACTCAGCGCGCACCCACCAATACTCAAATTCTTCCTACCCATGCTACAGTATATCTGTTGTCACTCCTCCCATATGAGCCACAATTCTACAGCTCCTGCAAATTACTCATGTTGCACAATGATGAATGATTCCAAATTTGTGAACTGCAGAACACAATGACATTTGAATGCAGATGGGAAATGAAACTTGGACAATTACTTTAATACATTATATACTTCTCAGATAATTACGTAGAGTAATTTAAAATGATAACATTCATTTTGGTAGATCTTGTATACTCATATCAGTACTATCTGTCTTTGACATGCATGTTTCAGGACTTATTCTGGTTAACATTATATAACTTGGAAGTGACTAATAAAATATTGCTACTATATTCATGATATGCCAATATTACAAAATCATGTAATATATTCAAACAATAAATAAATTTATTTATAGTAGATTTTACTTAATTGGGGCATTTGTATTTGGGCCAAACTGCAGAGAACAAAAAGAAATCAATGTATATAATGTAAATTTGCACCTACTCTCTACCTATTTAGGATATTGACAATCATACTTGAATGGAAAGCTAGAGATGGTGTGCCTCTAGTTGCATTGCAGTTTCAGTTATCATAAGTTGCACTGTAGAAAGTTTAAAGTAAATGATATTCTCAGATTTTCTAGGCCCAAAAAGAAGTTAGATTGGACAGAAACAGGGCAATTTTTAGTGTGCTTGATCTGGTCTGTTTTTCCTAGGCAGTTTGGATTCTGCAAGAGGTTTCTGGAAGAAACTTGCAAATAGCTAAGCAAACCAATGGCATAATTTGTTTCATATGTAATGGATTGTACCATAACATATGAAATGGTTGCTTACATTGGTTACTTACTAGTTGCTTGCTACCTAGATGTATTCCTAGTGAGACAATTTATGTTGCTAAATTGGGCTACTTGCATCAATTTGAGATATTAAGATTTTGAAATGCTATATCTTTAATGATTTAGCTAGTTGCTATTTTTGGACTATTTTTAGTTGCTATTTTTGTACAAATTTATATTTCAGTGTACTGAGCTAATAAAATTTGCATGTTTATCATTTAAAAATTTCAACATGACCACACCATGCCTTGTTGTGAGCAAATGACAGTGTTCTCTTCTTGTGCTTGCTCACCTTTGCTTCTGATGTTTTTAAAGATTGTAATTAAAATAAACGTTGTCTTTAAATAATTCATCTTTTAGTAAATATCTTTTTATTTTATACATTATTACAGCTGTTTGTTGAACATGTTTTTCACAGTAGTCTATCTTATCAGGATAATATCTGCATAGTTATGCCTAATTCTCAATGTGACCCAATTAAGCAGAATGTACTCTACCAAAAATTTAAATAATCTGAGACAATGTTGAAATAGCCAGAGCAACATAAAATGTAATACTTGACCATTATCGTGTAGGCTTACTCTGATCCAAGTTGATTTACCTTATAATTTTATAGAAAGAATATTGAAAATTGTATCAAAACCTTTATTACGAGTTAGTCTCTGAATTATACAACTATAACTGAAATAAGATTTTGTAAATATATTAAGTTATTTAATGTGACCACTGCTTTAAAATATCAACATTTTAGGTCTGTTTTTAAATATGGAAATCAAGAAATACCATAAAAATCATTTTTTGATTTTCTCACCTTTTCACTTCTTAAAATTTATTTTTAGGGGTGTTACGATAAAATTGAAAAAATTTTAAAGGAATACAGTTGGAAAATTGGAATTGCTGCTCTTGTGATTGCATTCTTACAGGTATGTTGACATGATTCTCAAATTATATCAAATAATTTTCAATGTTTCAATAAAATTTAAAATGCCAATTTCAGTTGGTGGGAATGATTTTTGGCTGCTGCCTTGCACGGTCAATCAAGAAAGAATATGAAACTGTATAGCAGTCATCAGCCATTAAAATTGTTTTAAAACTTTATTGATTACTGGTGATTGGTTTGTTTCTTAAAAAATTTTGCAAAAAATGTAAATTTCATATGTTATTCCCAGAATTTACAAATCTAGTAACTTTGAGGACAAATATTGTTCAAAATGTCAACTTTTTATTGTTCATACGTAACTTTCACAAGTTGCACACTGCCTCTTGTTAATGTATGAAAATGTTGAATAAATTATAAAAGATTTAATTTTTGATTTTCTAAATACAACATTTTATATAAACATTTAATGTTATAAAAAGATCTATTGAAATCATTCTTAACAGTTGATTAGAAAAAACTCTCAATTTATTGGAGGTAGTTCTGTTTATCCAAGAGAGATAAAACTAAAGTTTATCAAATAATTCTAGTTTTTGTCTGCATTTATAGAAGTATTTCAAATAAATGCTTCTAAAAATATACAGAATAATATGCAAAATATACAAGTATTAATATTTTATTCTTCTAGAAGATTTGTTGGGTTTTAGAAAAATGTTCAAGAGCAACTGTTAGTTCAGAATAGTCTATATTTCTATAAAAATGTCTAATATATCAAAACAACTTGAAATTTTATCGTTCATGTTTTAATATTTTGCTACTAATATTTTATTAAACTGTAGTAAAAGGTAGTGACAGCAGGTTTCACTGTATTTACATTTTTTCTCTTGTAATAATACTTTCTCTATATAAATCCTTAGACAATCTTAAACGTACTTACTTGTATACTAATGTTTGTTAAGAAGGGAACTGAGATTAATAAATTTTGATACAAAATAATTGTGATCTGTTTTAATCAACTTTACACATCTCACGTTCGTTTTCAAATTATCTCAACAAAAATTAGTTTATCGAATTTATATTTGATTTTTTTTGTTTTACAAATAATTTAGTATTTAAGCTTCCAAAGTATATTTGTCTTGTAGTTCATTTTCTTATAACTTAAAAAAATATTCATGTTGTAAGCAAGATAAAGGCCAACCATGACAATTAACAGGAAAAATAGGAAAATGTATTAATTTGTAACTTTAATACTAGTAGTTGGTGCCATAAAATTAATGATTAAAGTCTTAACTTTCTAGTTTTATTGTTAGTACGTTAAAACACTCTTTGAAAATTATTCATATTGTATTTAAAAATAAAAAAATGCATGTAATTTATGACTTGGTGACTGTTTTAAGCAGCCATTTTATCCACGACGAGATAAGACTACCCGAATTAATATTTTTCTAATCTTAGGACCATTGCCACCGTGCACAATTCGTTCAGAAAAATATACCACAGCTTTATACTAGTCAATAACTCTAACTGTTAAAATGTTAGTGCCTAAATATTTACTATGCGAGTGAGAATTGGTAGTATGAAGTTGAACATGTGACTAACCTATAAAATTTTAAAAATTCAGAAAGTTGGAGCAACGAAACAAGAATGAAGTCAAAACAGGAAAAGTTGTATTTAGAAGAATGATTATTATTTCTATACTACAGAAAATATTGCTATAAATGTTCTGCAGTTAATTTCAAGAGTAACAATAGTACAGCAGATTACAGTACTAACAATTAAGACCGATAGAGTTCATAATAAAACGGGACTGATTTTCGACATGTAGCTTTAATGTCAATTAGTTTTGGAAGATTTATAACATTAAAATCATTTCGCAGAAAAATTAAATCGATTTAAGCAAGTTAAGTCACTTACTCATTGATGATAATGGAGAGGTTGATTTGATGAAACCAAATAATAAATTGTATTCACACACTAACAAAAAACGATTGAAACAACTAGGATTCTGTACGAGGCTGCAATTTTCGAGGTCTTATTGCTAATTGTTCAGCTGTACAATTTCAGTATTTAAAACATATAAAACTTTATATGTAGTAGATTTAATGATCATCCACCTTTTCTATTGATTTTTATAAATCTTAAGTGCATTTATAAGTGTTATACATCTTGGAAAAAGTAGGTTTTCATATAAAAGAATCCAAACTCTGTATATTCACAACCAAAGATCAAGGGCTTCACAAACAGTACAAGTGGTTAAGGTGTCAGCACTAGGAGACTTGGAAACGAATCTGGACGATTCAAGTATTTTTCAGGTGGTGGTCAATCCGGATATTTCCGGCTAGGGTTTCTCATTTCCCGATCTTTTGCTTGTCCTGGGATTCCGGGATAAAAGTGAACTGTTTTCCGGGAAATCCCAGGACAAAATTAATTATTTTAAAGATATACAAAATATGAAATCAAATGATATAATTTTTCGTTTATTAAAGTAATTTAATCCGTTCTGTAACCTCCAAAATCATATTAATAATGCCGTGTAAGATACATATTAAAAATTACATTTGAATTATGTAGAAATTTTCACAAATAGAAAAAGTTTATTAAAGTTTGCTGGAAACTGCAAATAACAACAACAAAATGCTTTGAATTGAGTNAATTATAATAAATTTTATGTATACATATACATCAATCAATGGAATTTTATAATTCTTATGTTGTTGGTGTGGGCAGTGACTGAGAAAGACTGCTTGTGGTGGTAAAAAAAAAAAATGGCTGACCACTTATCTGTATGGAGGTGAGCGCAGACTGCTGTATGCTATGAGGTGTGGAAATTAGTAGTTACTGTCCAGAAATGTTGGCATATGGTGAAGGGGCATCATGCCATAATTCATCCAGAACCAGTCAAGAATAGTCATTTCTAGCCAAAATGGCTTAAGTTCTGTTGTGTATGCATAAATCTGCATCCATCTGTCAGTCCACATCAATATGAGGATTATGTGTTATTGGCAGATGGCACCACTGCCCACATTGAATTTTAAGGTATGCATCCATGTTTTCATTTAATAAGGTTAATGTCAAATAATTTATTATTTTTGCATTAGAAATAAAGAAATGATAGCAATTTCTCGATGCTATTTACTTTCCAACCATCCTGTATTCATATATTTATGCTTCTGATGCATAGACCAAGAACATTGTTTTTATTATGACCATTTGATATCTAAAGTTAGCTGCCACTTAAAATGATCTATGTTTACATGATTGAAATCTAACTACAATCAAGTTTAACCTGATGATTTTTTTAAAATTTGAATGGGATAGTTTGGTAATCTCAATAGTCTTACAGCTGAGTTATTTTAGCTATTTCTGCAATGGAGTTAACCTTTTTCTAGGGGGTTAATAAAAAATTATTTGATAATTTTAGTGAAAATAAATTGGTTCAATTAATTTTATCTACAATATAAAATATTAGTATATTTGCAAGAGTATGTGTGTAGAAAATTAGTATGTATAAATATTATAAGAACAAATTTGTTTATAAATATTTTATATATAGTATCTGTTAAATTTATTAAGAATTTCAAGTAATATGATTAAAACTTATTTTTCTTTTCAGTTTTCTGTTATCATATTTTTGATATTCATTGTTGAATTAGCTGTTGGAATATCTGCCTATGTATTCAGAAATAAAGTAAGTTATTTTTTTTTTCTTTTGGACTCTAGTTGTTATTTTAGTAATCATTATGAAATCTCAAATATTAGGAATGATGTCATTATTTATGTTAATACAAACATTCTGTCATTTGCTAATTGATGATAAAAACTTTACTGAGGTCTTATTCATCCTGTGGTAAATAGTCACTAATATGAAAATAATTCATTCTGTATATTGATCAATGAAGTAAAATCTTCTTTTTATCAGTTGTATTATAAATATTTTGGGAAATCCTGTAAAGCTGAAACTTTTGTTACAGTAATACACAAACCTTCCTTACACCTTTTCAGCAATTATCTTCAATAAACAACTGTTAAAATAAATGTTTGTTATAGATTATTGCTGTAAAGATGTAAGGAAAGTATTGTGTTTATTATTATTTCATTTATAAACAACATATTAAAATTAAGGTTGAACATTTTAATTATATTTATATGTTTGAGAATGTGATAACAATGAAATCAAACATTTTTTAAAATAATGCATAATTTTCTGTTCTTTAGTTTCAATAACTATTCTAAGCTATTAATTTACACTTCTAGATTTTTAAAAAATAAGTGAAAGAATAACTCAGAGCATTCCATATTATTGAAATTTACTGTGAAGGAGGAAATTTTTATTGGTACAAATTAGTTTTGGGTTAACAGTGAAAAGACAAAAAAACTCATCCCATGTACTAAGGAATCTTCAAACTAAATGATGATGAAAGCTATAATTCTCTAGACTCAACTGTAGATTTTAATATTTGATAATTAAAGGTATGAGATTCCTAGCAAATGATTATGGAATGACTAAATGCAAAAGGCATTTGCATGATCAAAGCTTATTCTTTATGCAAGATTCATTGAATTTCTTCTTTCAAATTTTTAGTTTCAAAATATGAAGAAAATAGAAAATGTTCAGTCAGTGAAATATTCTCAAATTTTGCAGTATAGTTATTTCAAAGTGATTTTTTTTCCTGTATTTTACCCACTTAAGAATGATATATTTGGTTCAGGTGTGAATTTTTACTAATTTCTTAACCATTTTCAATATGATTTGTATTTTTTCATTCAGGTTCAATTTAAATTGTTAAAAATGCAAACACAAGTAACTTGCAAAATATTTTTATTTCAAAGCACTTTCTGTGAACACAGTAATGGTTATATATGACATTAAGCATACACTCTCATGTTCTCTCATATATTATAATGGTTTTTGTATAACTATCATATATAATTTCTATAATATTACATATAGAATTCTATTATAAGATATTGGAATCCTGAAAATTGCTTATGTCTTAGTCACTTAAATTGGTACCTTTTTCATGCTGTTTTAATTGCTAATTCAAGTAACTGATATGGAGTATGTTATAAAACAAACTCATAGAATATAACATATAACTACTATCTCTCAAAATTTACAATAAACCAGCAACGAATTGCTCAACTTTCCGGAAACATTTAAAATTTTGGTGCTGACATTTGTTATCATATTTTATTTTAAAAAAAACTTTTATGTTTTTAACTATTATAAAATGGCAAAAAGCTTAATTTTGAGGATGAGTTTTATAAAACAGGTAAACATGACCTCGTTATCTCCCCATTCCCTCGACATTTAACCACAAAAATTAAATAGCACCAATGCTCCTAATAAACAAACCTTGAAAATTTCAGAACTTCTTGACAAAAAGAACAGGAGTCAAGCTTCAAACAGGTTGAACCAAATCATGCCCCCCGCAAACACACACGAACATTCATACACAGAAATTACCCTTGAATTTTTATGTTTTTCTTGATATTTCAAGATGTCCTAAATCCAAAAATGTAAAAATTTGGAGGGGTTTTTCTTTGCCAGATTGCCACTTTCCCGCTGTTATAACAGCCAGGAAAGTGAAAAATAAAAGTAGCTCAACAGTTGGCAGTAATGTTAGTTAGGAAACACTGCTTGATGGTCTGGAAATGTCAGTTTTACATTGAGCAAAGTTCTATTTTCAGAAATATTTCTAGATTGAAGTAGTATTAATCATTTTTAAAAACTTTAGTTTTTAAAAACGATTACATTTATTCCATCCTGAAAAATAATCATTTAATAATTTTTTAATTCGCTTAAAAATTAAAAATCCAGTTTTTAATTTTTACAGGTAATGAACATTACTGATCTATATAATCATTTAAGATTCTAATGTGAAAATTATAGAAAAATTGTCAATCTTTATTTTTTTAAAGTAAAATTTTATATACAAAAATTCTTTTGTAATTTGTTTTCTAGAAGTTTAAAAGCAGAAAAATTACCTTAAAGTACTTAAATTTACTCTTCTCTACTTTCACTTACAAATCAACAAACAACAAAAACCCTTTAAGATTCAGTCTTTTACTTAAACTTCTAATGCTTTTAGTCAGTTGAATGACCTTCAGGAAAAATCAAATAATTTTGATTTAAATGAACAAAACCTATTTATTAAATAAAAAGATTGCATCTTAAAGGGTTTTGTTATTAAAAAACTCAACTAAGATTAAAAATTTTCATGCATAAAGGAATTTTACATTTACAAATATTAAAGGAAAATATTTTTTATTTTAAAATTAAAATCATGTGTAAATGTCATCATCTTCAATATTGTAAATTTGCTTATTTATAATTTAGATATCTGATAATATAAAGAGTGTTTCTAAAGATTTATTGGAAAACTATAATAAAGATGCAAGTGACAAAGACTTTTGGGATGACATACAAACAACGGTAAGATTGTTTACTTATGTTGTTTAATAAACCTTTTTATTAAACAAGTGATTTGTTTGATTAAATATTATTTAAGAACTAAACTCTAGAAAAGAGAGAGAGAATTTTTTTAACAGCTTTATTTTTTACATAAAATAATGAAAAATCAAATCAGGTTTGTATAAGGTAATACAAAGCTGATTTGATTTTTCATTATTTTATGTAAAAGATAAAGCTGTTAAAAAATTATGTATATAATGCACATGAAACACAACCTGTCTACTATTTATAAATAATCAATGCAACATTATTAGTTGTCAAGTATAAAGGTCAAACAACCTTTTATGAATTGAATATTTTATTAATTGAATTTTAGTGATAGTATATAAAATATTTGATATTGACCACTTCAGTGTAATTTAAACTAGAAGACATTTTAAATTATTTGGTATTTTAGTTTATTGTTTTGTGATGATAATTCATTTTATAAGATTGATATATATGCAGTTATGAAATACAAGTGGAAAAATTTAGTTTTAATACTAGGGCTGGTATTTTTTTTGCCTACTTATAAGGACCAGCATGGGTCTATTTGGCCCCAGATACAAACTGTACTAAATTTAATAAATATTTGCCTTTTTAAAATAATTATTTGTAGGTTCAAGTTTAATTGTTTTTCTTATAGGCAACAAACTTTTTTATTTAACACAAGGAGCATAAGTAACTAGAAACTTTTCTGAACCTTTTCCACAGATACAGATAGCTTTGTGGACAACAGAGAATATTCAAGTGTTTTGTTTGCATTTGAACAAAACTTGAAGACAACTTTTTCTGTATTTTTTGTAATTTTGCCTTGAAAGAATGCTAAAATTGTAGATCCCTTTTCTTAATTTGCTTTGATGAAAATTCCTCAATGATTTAAAACAGAAAATGCTGGAAGGAGATTTTTTTTATGTCAAAATTTTGTAGATAATCCAAACATTGATTGCTGTCTGGTTTAAAACATATCCAAAATACTATAATATGCTTCTTATTTAGCCTTGGTATATACTTGAGCACTACGTTTGCCTCTTTACTTGTGGACTTATTACACTGTCACTGGACACAAGATCAGCCTTAGAAAATCTGTTTATTTTCTCAAATAAGTATGCATTTTGAACCTAAGTTCCTCATCAGCGTTTTTTTTACAAATATTTATGAAATATTTGTGTCAATTTCATAAATATTGTAGAAAAAAAAGCCAATGAGGAACTTAGGTCCAAAATGCATACTTATTTGGAAAAATAAACAGATTTTCTAAGGCTGATCTTGTGTCCAGTGACAGTGTAATAAGTCCACAAGTAAAGAGGCCAACTTAGTGTTCACAAGTGTATTCTAATTGAATATTTTCAAGCAATTTGGTTGAGAATTTTGACACTGTCTTATGGTAGAAATGAACTCTACTAGCTTTTTCCCCCTTTTGTTCATTTGACTATGTAGATGTGGAAAACTTAGTATAAGCAAATTTGTTTATTTTTTTCAAGATTATATTGTTTGGTCATTTCAACAATTTTATCTCATAAAATGGTGCTTTTGAGTTTGACAACATTTTCTAGTAATAGTAAAGATTTAGTCTCTCTTTTGGGCCGTGTTGTGTGTTAACATCAACAAAAAGCTAGTCTCAATTCAAATTTCTCTGGTTGGCCATGTAGTATATAAATTTGTGCTGTGCTTTGTTGGGAAATGTGTGTTCATCTACAGTAAGGTTTTTTCTGTCTTGAAACATGTAATACAATTTTCAATGAAGTTGTACCAAACAGTTGATACTAAGTAGAACTGTCAGTTTTGATTGACAATTTAATAGATTTAATTTAAATACAGGTATCTTGTAATTCCTTGAAGCAATTTCTTGAGATTTTAAAATAGAAGGCTCTAAACTCAGGGCAACAGTCTAAGTCAAGTGCTGGAAATTTATGCATCATGTGCATAAATGAAATCTGTAAGTGTTTCATTCTGTTGGACTCTTGGTGGAATAATAGACATGAAAACTTTGGTAGATACCAATAAAATCTTTTTTGATTCACTAACACAAGGTGTGTTTCTATTTCAACACTTGGCGGTATTCCATCTTTATTTAGTCGATATGGTTACAAGTATGACAACATGTTTCGGACACTGCCCCTCCTCAGTCAATGTGAGAGTTGTTCTTGATAACTTTTCATGATGGCTTCCTTTGGTGATCTTTTCTTTGATGAAATTTGCCATTTTTATGTAATAATCCATTTGAAATCTGTTATCATACTTGTAACCGTATCAACTAAATAAAGATGGAATACCGCCAAGTGTTGAAATAGAAACACACCTTGTGTTAGCGAATCAAAGAAATTAAGACAACGCGGTTTCAGAGGATTTCACCAATAAAATCCACAAATTTGCATTAGTAGTGTAGCTCTGCTAGAAGATCTACATTATAGATTTATTAGATTTTTTCTTGACTATCTTGACTGATCTAAATTTTCAAAACAGTGGTTTTATTGTCTCATACTAATTAGATGATTCTTTATCAACTTGTGAATTACGTTTTAAGTTCAATTGTAATGTGTAATTGAATGATAATAAGACTTAAATTGTATGACAAATTTTCACTTATATGCATCAATAATCTTAAAATGAAGTTTATAATTTTTATTTCATTTGAAAATACAGGTTTTTTTATTATGATATACATTCTAATCAGTATCTCTTAAATGTAGTACAACTGTTGTGGTATTGATGGCCCAAGAGATTGGAATGGAACCTTTCATTTTCCTGACCTACCTAGTTCATGCTGTGTTAAAAATGAAACAACATGTACATATGAAAGTAAAAGTGTTCGAGTTGAGGTATGTATTATTATTAAATTAATTTAAAGTAATAGAATTATTTTATATTGTATACATTGAATAATAATAAATCATTAAATGATGATCTTCGATTTCTCACAATGATAATACAATTTAATAAAATTAATTTCTCACTGTTTTCAAACACTGAGAATGTGAATATGTGAGTATATGTTGGAATATTTTTAAATTCCATGAACAAATAAAAGTATAGTTATCCCTTGTTACATATTGATATCAGTTTCAAAACATTTTGTAATTTCAAAAAAATTAAAGTACATACTGATATAAATCACAGTGTACATAAATCTGATTCAGTCACCATGTACATTATCATCATAATCAATGTGATAATTGCATTCTATAATTAAAGAAATATGTTTTTTGACTTCAGTTTTTTAAAATTATAATTTAACCTCTTTCAGCCATTTCTTTAAAATTTGAAAATTAATCAACCAACCCTGAATCTTTAAGGGTGGGAAAAGGTGAATCTAAACGGGAAAAAGATGATATAAACCTGGTTTTTGTATCAGTTGATTCTTAATCTGAATAAATTACTATTTAACTACCATAGTTACAATTGGAAACAAATCTTTAAAAACTAAATTAGATGCATGCCTAAAATTTTATTGATTTAGTTTGATAGGCTTTGTGAGGGAAAAAGATTTTTAGTTAATCATGTAATACAAGGGATACCTGTAATAATATATATTACATTTCACATTGTCTGGATGTCATTTTTTACCTAATTTGATTCAAACAACCAAGATAAAAAAAAATGATTATTATTCTAATTTTAAGAAATTTAATTAAATTTAATAAATTTTTCTTGTAAGAAGACAGTTAATTGGGTGATCAATGCATCATTCTAACTCAGTTGTGAGATAGTGATGAATTTATTCTGATGATAAATTTACATGATTGTCTAAAGAGAATTGATTTGTATTTGAATGTGACATAAAATATGAGAGCTAACTTATAAACTCAACAGAAATGACTATGCTTATACAAAATAATTTTGTTATTAACAGTTTGATGTATCAAAGTTTGTCATAAATTTTGACAATTTTAACTGTTTACTCTAACTTTAAACTTGCATAAATTTTACATTTCATTATATGCACTTAGTTACGTAAATTGAATGTTCCAAAATCAAACACACAAGCTTGTGCTCATTTGGTAGTGATCAGAAAAATTTAAAGAAATAATTCATATTCAAAAAATTAATTAAATGAACACCAAAATATATTGCTATGAGTATTGTACAGTTTTACAGTATTGTAACTGATGAAATAAGTGCAAACAACAAAAAATTATTTTAAACATATAATTGTAAGTACTTTTGGTCACATTTTACATTCTCTTCAACAGGCTATTAGAACAAAGTAATGGAATAAGAATATAGAAACTGAATTCAAAATTGCTTGAAAAACATTAAATAAAACACTGTCACCACATCCAAAAATTAACAGCAATAAGTAACTTAAAGTATAACACATGCACTATTTCATTTAGCATATAATATTTCAACAGTTACATTATCATAAGACAATTCAGTGCCTATAATGGAAAGTACAGNGATACTCCGATTATTAAATCTAATTCTTATTTTAGTAATGAAAAGTCTTGCTACCGAGAATGCCCTTTACAATTCAATTGATGTGAGTGGAATTGTGTTTAATGCATTTAAGAGAAGACAAATATTGTGTTTTTCAACTGTAACCTGAAAGATTTCTAGTTTATTTTCGAGATTGTAGTACTTCTTTTGTTTTCTAGTATTCTCGATTTGTCTACCTCGACTGCTTTAATAGAAACATCATACCCCAAAAATTCAGCAGTTCGTTTGTCTTTAATAATCAGGTTATGAAGAAAAACTTCATACTTTGTACTCGTTTGTATCCTTGCCCAATTTGCACAACTTGGCGTTACGCAGTTATTGAAGCTACTGGGCATGATTAAAAATTAAGACAGCAATAAGCACAATTATTCCAGATATTACAGGTAAAGAATTTTGAGAATCCTGCCACAAATAAGCTACGTATTGATTATTGACCATTTGCGACATGTCATAACGAGCAAAAATTAAAAAAAATCTAATAAGTAGGTTTAAAGTTAATAAATACAAATGTATTCTGACAGTTTATGAGTTAGTTATACTTCCTATTTGCAAAGTTTCCTCAACCTTAACACAAAATTGAAAAAAAAGTGAATTTTTAAGAAATCTGCGGGATTTCCCGGGTTAAACAACCGGGATTTCGTTTGAGAAACCCTAATTCGGGCCTATTCTCGCCATCATGCCGCCCAATTGTATGCCTGGCTGAACTCACGAAGGGTTTGATTACAAAGACCTCAGTAACAACAGGGAGGAAAGAAAAGGATTAATAGTTCAAGAGTTCACATACTAAAAGTAAAATAAATGGTAATTGGTTAGCTTCTTACTCTGGCCTTTGGTTGTGAATATAGCAGTAAGAGATAAAGATTGCATTCGAACAATTATACTGCTGTCAATTGTCGCTGTAGTGTCGAATCGGTATACAGTGGTACCTCAGGATACGAACGCCCCAGCATACGAAATTTTCAGGATACGACATGAAATTCGAACATATTTTTGCTCCACGATACGAACAAAAATTCACCATACGACGTTACATTATATCGCGGCGCCATTTTTTATTCACTTCTGTTCATTGGTCTCATTCCGCGCGTTTCCTTCGTCGTGGAAGGATCTCGCTCGATGAAGGAAATCTCGAGGTATTATCGGAAAGTGACTGATTTTATTGAAAAGAAACATCCCGAAAAGGTTCACACTGGCCGTATTGCTGCTCGGAGTAATGACATTTGCCTAAGTCATTTTTGAAATATTTTAAAAAGTAGACAAAGCCAAAGTAGATATTTTATCAAGCGACCTCTATCCAGTGAAAGTGGTGAAGGAAAGAAAGCAAAGAGCAGTGAATAAAAAAAATATATATATATTTTATTCACTGCTCTTTGCTTTTATATATATATATATGTGTATACAGTATATATATGTAAAACAACACTATTTTTTTAAAAATCTTTTCTAAGTTATTTTTAAGTTATTGTTACATTACGTTATCTAAGTTAAGTTTTAGTATGATTTTCCTTCTCCCTCTCTTCCGCCACCAGTTTACACCTCCACCATCGTCTATCCTCAAAGGTAAAGTGCATAAAACTACATTTTTTTTTTTTATCAATTATTATTCTATTATGATTATTTATACATTTACAACTACAAAACGCATTTTTCAGTGTTTTCCTTACTATATTTATTTATTTTTTTAATGTACTACTTTAATTTGAATGTGTTTTTCGTATTGGAACGAATTATTTGGTTTTACATGTAATCGTATGGGGAAAAATGATTCACCTTACGACATTTTCATGATACGATCTCAGTTTCGGAACGGATTAATTTCGTATCCTGAGGTACCACTGTACCTAAAAATTATGTAACTTCTTAGCACCCCATAAATTATCGAGTTATGTTGAACATTTTTCAGTAAAAATCATCTACCATGTCACGATATTCTTATTTAATCGCCGTTTTTATACGGAGATTTTGATTATAGATACCGAAACTATTTTTGAAGATAGAAAAATTTCTTCATAAATCCGTCATTAACAACTATTAGGAATCCCCGAAAATAAGTTTTTCATTCACAGATGCGATCTTTTATTTGAAGCTACACCTCTAATAAATGCAAAATGGACGTCTGAAGATAGAAATTTTTCAATAGACAATTTTTGTATTTCTTTTCAAGAACATCTTGAAGAATAAAGATCAAGAATAAAATTTTATGTTTAAGCGGAAAGTATTAATAAATTATGCAATTTTGAAATTAAGAGATTCACTTTTGTTTAGAGGTCTAATTTAAGAATATCTTACGAAAGAGTCACACCAGACAGATTCTTATTGAACAGAATGTGATGTATTCGAGCTACAAGACCTCCCCGTGTAGCCAGATACAACGATTATGGTGACTTAAACTCTTCCTATACTCACAGAAAAGATAACATTTATTTGTTAAAACTTCGAAACGTTTTTAAAAACATTTACGATGGGTTTACAGGACCATCCGCTACACAATTGTCTGTTCTGTACTGTACGTGTCAATGAAAGGTACTGTACAGTACGGTACATATTCAAAAATATATAAGACCCTCTTTGAGTACTCGATCCCTTACTGGTAGATATAAAGTGCAAGACTATAAAGACACAAAAATTAAAATTTTAAAGCATGTGTTTTTGAAAATCTGATTGATAGATATTTTTAGACTACAGATTATGTCTATATGTGATAAATACTAATTTTAGTCTGCTAAAAATATAACTTAATAAATATCTTTTAGTACAGATCTTCGTATTGATTAATCTAAATTAATACCATTGCTTATTTATTATTCAAGATTTTATCAAATAATTTTGAAGAATGCATCTATTAAAAACTAACAAGTAAATAAGAAAACGTTAATATATTTTTTGCATATAATGTTTCCAGTTTTATTATTTACTAGGCTAAATTAAAATTAATTATTTTAGCATTTTTAACATAAATATTTAAAAAAAAAAATTATAGAATGACTTACATTTTACATTGTTATAAGAGAGGGAAAGTATGGTGATTCGGCAAAAAAGTCCTCCTCTAAGACTTTTATGGACTTTTTAGGACATCTTGAAACGTCGAGAAATGCAAAAAAAATTCTGGGATAATTTCTGTATGTATGGTTGTTAGTGTGTTTGTGGGGAACACGATTTTGTTTACCCTGTTTGAAGTTTAATAACTCCTGTGCTTTTTATCGAAAGTTTCTGAAATTTTGCAGGGAGGTTTGTTTATTAGGGGATTTGATGCTATTAAATTTTGGTGATTAAAGGATGAGGGGTGGGGAGATAACGGAGGTCGTGTGTAACTCCGATAGGGTCGGACTTAATGGCATTTTACTCGTTATTAGCATTTACAAATTTTTATAAAACCTATCCCTACTCTCAAAATTAAGCTTTTTGCCATTTTATACTAGTTAAAAATATAAAAAGTTTTTAAAATAAAATATGATAATAGATGGCGCCCGGAAAATTTTGAATGTTGCTGGGAAAGTTGAGCAACTCGTTGATGGTTTATTTAACTTTGGAATTAACATATTTCAGCATCTTTAAAATTTATTATATAGATTTTTTACATGTGGAAAAGAAAAATCTATGTTATAGAGGGCCAAAATAGTAATTTGGAAGAAATGCATATTATAAAAAGAAGAAAAATTAGGAATTTTAAACTATATTAATTTTGAATTTTGAAATTTTTTCAAGTCTTCGCTATATATATTAAAAAAATTAATAATAATTACTTTAAATGTTTATATATTAAAATTTACTTTCAAATTAAATTAGAACTATTTTTAAGATTTGAAAGTAGTTTCTACTGTTAATTATTTGGAATTATGTTAAGAATGTTTTAAATTATTTGAATTTTTAATAATTCGTTATAAAAATAATTTCTTTGTTGAAATTGGGTAATAATAATTGAATTATTCTTTTGTTTGTGCCAATCTACATAAAAAATGAGACGTTTTGCAAAAACTGTGATGTTTGTTCTTAATTTTATCGTTTCGGTAAGTTTATATCTTACAAGATTTTATATAAATTACAAATATCGTAGAATGGCTAAAGTCTCTATGCATATTAATTATAAATTATCTGTATTTGTAGATATATTTTTTTCATATTACGGTCATTTTTTTATCTTTGCCATGAAGGCCCTTTAATATGCTAATTGTGGGTTCTTCTGCTCCAAATTAATCCACTCGTAAAAATTGGGTGAAATGCTCTCTGTTCGATAGGATTCGGGTTCGAGTCCGAACCGTCTTTCTTCAAACCGGTAAGATGGTGCATCAGACCTATTAGATGGCCAAAGTAGTTACTACTTTGCCCATCTGGCTGTTCGGTTGAAGTCATGAAAGCAATTACTAAAACATAAATTTTCGTCTATAATAACGTATCTTCTATTACCAGAACTTATTTCTGTAGTGCCAGTATAATATTACAAAGTTTTACAGAAAAACATTTTTTATTTTACTTAATATACCTGGACACATACATAGTTTTGCGTTTCGGACATTCTTGTCCCTCCTCAGCAGGTACTTTTGTATATTCTATAACAATAAAATTAAGTATTTAAAATTANGTCTTCGCTATATATATTAAAAAAATTAATAATAATTACTTTAAATGTTTATATATTAAAATTTACTTTCAAATTAAATTAGAACTATTTTTAAGATTTGAAAGTAGTTTCTACTGTTAATTATTTGGAATTATGTTAAGAATGTTTTAAATTATTTGAATTTTTAATAATTCGTTATAAAAATAATTTCTTTGTTGAAATTGGGTAATAATAATTGAATTATTCTTTTGTTTGTGCCAATCTACATAAAAAATGAGACGTTTTGCAAAAACTGTGATGTTTGTTCTTAATTTTATCGTTTCGGTAAGTTTATATCTTACAAGATTTTATATAAATTACAAATATCGTAGAATGGCTAAAGTCTCTATGCATATTAATTATAAATTATCTGTATTTGTAGATATATTTTTTTCATATTACGGTCATTTTTTTATCTTTGCCATGAAGGCCCTTTAATATGCTAATTGTGGGTTCTTCTGCTCCAAATTAATCCACTCGTAAAAATTGGGTGAAATGCTCTCTGTTCGATAGGATTCGGGTTCGAGTCCGAACCGTCTTTCTTCAAACCGGTAAGATGGTGCATCAGACCTATTAGATGGCCAAAGTAGTTACTACTTTGCCCATCTGGCTGTTCGGTTGAAGTCATGAAAGCAATTACTAAAACATAAATTTTCGTCTATAATAACGTATCTTCTATTACCAGAACTTATTTCTGTAGTGCCAGTATAATATTACAAAGTTTTACAGAAAAACATTTTTTATTTTACTTAATATACCTGGACACATACATAGTTTTGCGTTTCGGACATTCTTGTCCCTCCTCAGCAGGTACTTTTGTATATTCTATAACAATAAAATTAAGTATTTAAAATTACCGACAAAAGGTTTAATAAAATTCTTACAATTTTAAGGTTTTCATTTATTTTTACCACAGCTGGATATTCAAATTTGATCGACAATAGCAGTATTACTATAATCTTAAACCTGTATTAAAAATATTATTTTAACATTATTTCAGTTTTTTAAATTTATTTACTATTGTTACAACTTACATTTGTTCTAGACCCGTTTGCCTTACACCTCGTTTTCACTTTCTTTTCTTTCTTTCTTCTTCTTCGGTGTTGTTTATATGGAGATTTTAGCTCAAGATAGGCTCTTTCTCCGATTAGACATGTGTGTATGATCGCTATGCGACCGATTTGCCGGCCGTATCCGAACGGCCTATACGTACGCGCTGGAATTAATGCCTTCCGGGAGGACTTTTATGGGGAACTGGCCTCCTATTCAGTCGTTATTGGCAAGGAGAAAACCCGGAAAACTCCAAGCAGCCAGCCTGTCCGACCGTGGCGCGAACCCACGACGAACCTCCCAGTCTTTAGGGTCTGGTCACCACTACGATGAGCGGCAACGGAGACCACTCGCCCACTGGTGGAGGCCCTCGTTTTCACTTCTTCTTCTTCTTCTATGTTAATATGGAGATTTTAGCTCTTTCTAGGCTCTTTCTCCGACCTCGTTTTCACTGTTTTCGATTGTTCTTTTTATCAGTTAGACACTCCCTTTTTTCTATTAGTCTTAGCCATGATTGGTGCATTTCTCTACCGGTATTATTATTTATTCTATTATTTTGTCTTATTATATTAATATGTTCATAAAGTTGTCTTTTATAATTATTCTTTTCTTTTTTCTTTATTTTAACTGAATTCAATACTACTGTATTTCGCAACCTGTGGTATTACAATGCTCCGCTACTACTGAATTTGCATAATTTCTCTTGATTGCTCGGATGTGTTCATTTATTCTTATTTTTAATTTTCTTTTTGTTTCTCCTATATATGTTTTTTCTGGTTTACAACTGCAATTAAATGAATATACTACTCCTTTTTCTTCTAATATATCATAATTTCCTTCATTTCTATAACATAAATGATTTTTTGTTGTATTTACTTTTTCCGGTATTATATTAATTATATTGTTTAATATTTTCTTAATTCTTTCAAATATCTTAGGGATATACTTTATTTTAACGAAACTTTTTTCTTTATCTATTAATCTTAATTGTTTATCTTTTTCCAATTTTTTTAACCATTTATTCAGTAGGCTTTTTGGATAATCATTTAACATAAACATTTTTATTATTTCTTCTTCTTCTTTCTCTTGAGTTTTAATTTCACTAGTTCGTTGTCTTATTTTATTTATATACATTTTAAACATATTATATTTCATACTTATTGGTGTTACTGATTTATAATTAATTGTTTTTGGTATTTGTATAGGTTTCACATATTTTTTATAAATCAATTTATCTTCTTTTCTGTCTATAGTTATATCTAGATAATTAATACTATTTTGTTTCTCTATTTCTATTTCAAATTTAATATTTTCTTTTATCTCATTAGCTTCCTTTATAATTATTTGTTCATTTGTTTTTCTTGTATCATATATTATAATACAGCCATCTACATACCTGCTATAAAATTCTATGCCTTCTATGTTTTTAATTTTTTCATCTATTTGTATCATTGATATTTCAGCCAATCTTGGGCCTACACAAGTATCCATAGGTATTCCATTATCCTGGGTATAGAATTTATTTTCAAACTGAAAATAATTATTTTTAATTATAATTAGACATAACTTAATTATCCAACTAAGTGTTTTGATTCTTAATAATGAATTTTCTATATCTTCTATTGTTATACTAGGATACATATTTACTATATCAAGGGATATTAATTTCATATATTTATTAATTGTAACATTTTTTAAATCTTATTAACAATTCATCTACATTTTTAATGCTATGATTAGATATTTCTAATAGTTTAATTTATTTTTTAAAAATTTTTCTAGATTATAATATAAATAATTTCTAACATCTATTAATGGTCTATATTTTACAGGATTTTTATGTGTTTTTACCCTTATATTAAATTTTGGTGTTCTATTATCTTCTCTCTTGATGTATTTAATATCTTCTTCAGTTATATATAGTTCTGTTTTCAAATTTTTCAATTCCTTATTCAATGATTTTATTAAATCATTTGCTGGATCTTTCTTTAGTTCTTTATAATTTCCTCCTGTAATTAATCCTTTAATGACGTCTATTTTTTCTTCTTTCTTCATTATTATTATTTGTTTCTTTTTGTCACCTTGAAGTATTTCTAAATTATTATTATTTAAAAATGTTTTAACATTATTTAATTATTTCTTATAATTATTAATTTTATTTCTTGTTTTTTTATTTAGTTTTTTATTCGTTATTATTTTTTGCATACTTTTTCTAATACCTTCTCTTTCTTCTTCTGGAAATTTCCATAACAAGTGTTCTGTGATTACTGCAAATTCTTCAATTTTCAACATTTCCGGTCCATTGTAATCCATTCCTAGATTTAATGTTCTTTGGATTGGTCCTGGGATTTCTATGTTCGTCATGAAAGCAATCTTTAAATAACTATTTCTAAGTCTTCAGCTGTCTTGAGAAAACATTCTCTTTCACAATGTTCTAAAGCAAGTTTTCGTGCAATGGTCAAGCGGATAAAACCACTAAACACTGGTAGTTGGTGGCGAGTTTGCACCTCGCAAAAGTGGATTTTTCCGGGTTTTCTTCGCGTTTATAATACCTATGCAGGATCCAGTTTCGCGTAGAAAGTCCTTCTGGAGGCCCTTCGGCAGATCGCCTGCGTATCGCGTTGCCGTAACAAGCAAAACAACAAATTTTCGTGTGTTTACACTAGACTTCGAGGGGCCATACCGTATTAACAATAAACCATTCCTTCGTCTACTGAATTCGATTTCGAGGTATTCTCGTATTGAAAGATAATGGCATAGCATAATGTCATGCATAGATATTTTGTAGCCACTCTATAATTTCTGTATAATGATTGCATATCAATGATTTATTTATATAGTTTTGTGGAGCAGTTGGTGCTGTTAGCATATTTGTTACAAAGTTCTCAATACGAAAATATAATATACCTGTAGGATCCGAATATCACTTAATTCTCACAACTCTCATAGCCTTGGCTATATTGATGTTTTTATTGGCAATTCTGGGATGTTGCGGTACGATGTTAGATAACATGTACATACTTAATTCGGTAAGATTTAATCAACTTATCTCAATTAAAAACAATATATAATTAACGATAATTATATCCTTGGTATAGTATTCTTCTTGGTTGCTCTTGATTGTGATTATCCAAGTTTCTATTGGAATTTATATTACTGTGAATAAAAAACAGGTATGGTGAATTTTCTTTTTCTTAAACTAGAATACATTTATTTCTTTATCTTATATTATACAAATTTTAAAGATGATTGAAGCTGTAAAAGGAGAAATGTTAATGTCAATGAAAAAATTCAGAGCTCAGCCTCATATCAGAAAAGGATGGAATTTACTTCAAACAATTGTTTGCAAATCACAAATTTTATGTAAAGTGATTCAAAAGTAGTAGCATAAATTGAGAGAAATTGGTCGAATTTCGTAAAATGAATATAAAAATGAACAGATATTCTTCCATTTAATTGACTAATTTGATAAAATAGGGCAAAGCAATACGTGGGTATCTGCCAAAGGAGACGCCTCTCGGGAAGACTTTCTATGGAAAGCTAGGATTATAAGAGTTAAACACGTATTAATAGCTAGCCCATTGGTGATTCTGACTAACTATCAGTGTGTAGTGGTTTTGTGATGCACTCAGCTACTGTGGTCTCCTTGCACTGCATATTCTAATGTGCAAGTAGACACAAAATGTGTAATGGGAATTTTGAATTGTGTAGTGGAAATCCCATATTTCTGCAGTAATTAATTATTCAGTTCTGGGTTTTATAAGTATTCTTTCTTATGGTTGTGTTAATGCTAAAATATTTATCTAAATTACATAGTATAATGTAAAAACGGAAGCCGAATAAAAGGAAACCTGACAAATCGGCAAAAATATTCGGTACCGTGAGATTCCGGTTTACACAAGTTTTACTGTATATTTTATTTGGCCCTTGAGAAAGGAGGAAGGAGTGTTGGTAGGATTTACAATTTGTATTGAATATATACAATAGATATTTTTTATGCAGCCTCAACATCAATATTATCATTTAACGCTAGGATGTATTGGCTTGACCAAAACAAAACTGATATTTGTGCATCAGGAAAAGAACCAAATATGCAAGGAGACAGGCTTTATTCCGGCCTGTCTCCTTGCATTTAGACTTAAAATGATATACGTACTCACAGTTTGTGTGAAGCCTGTTTGATAATGGGAGAATTTGAGCTTGCTATAGGAACTTGATATGTGAAATTCTATGCATTACAACTTCCATCTATAATGCATTGATTTTGTGATTCGTCTGATATCCATGACTATTTTTTTATGCTCGTTTTCAGTTATTTGTAACCTCACAACATTGTATGGTTTATATCTCATTAGGGAAAGTCCAAACGAGAAATTATCACATTAATTGACTTTGTAGACATTTTCCTTCAATTTATAATACCGTTTTTGGATCACCATACGTTAAATACTTCAAAATTTCACGTAAAAAGTATTTTTCTAGTTGAAATGCTGTGGGATAAAGCAATCATCTGATTGGTTATTTGCATTTAAATCTGGAAAGTTACCGATATCGTGTTGTCCTCGTTTGAAGTTAGAAGATGAAGAACAATGCACCTTAGGTTTGGATTCGCACGTTGCAGAAGTAATTTGCTTCGTTTTAAATGTTTATTTTGTTGATAACCGAGTTACATGAATATTCCATTTATTTAGGGTTGTTTTGAGAAATTAGTTGTGATTATAAAGAGAAACATTACAGAAATTTTAATATTGATCTTCACAACGATAATCTTTGAGGTAAATCTTTCAATTAAATATTTGAAAATGTAAATAAAACCTATAATTTTATACGTATATTTTCAGATAATTAACATTATATTTGGTTTTTATTTGGTTTATAAAATTGCACAAGATCGATTTTATTTCGCCTTAATGACAGAAAGTGCAGAAGATGCTGCTTCCTCACCTTGTCCATAATATTATTCAATACCATGTAAAATTTCATATCTATGGAAGAATGATATTTCAAATACATTTTTTAACAGTAATTATTTTAAATTATTGTATACAGTCGTTTCTCACCGAGCATGAGTCTTTAGAGTGGTTTCCCATCTTTATACATGCTGAGTGACCCCAATGTATATCTACAGATATTGGCCATTTAGGTTTTATGGCAAATTATAACAGTGGACGTGTTACTTGGTAAAGCATGTTTAATACAGCTGGATAATCGAGCCAAATGAAATGAGCTGTCATTGGCTGCTTATTCATCTACAGTGTAGATGAATACAGTGTTTCTCAACCTCTAACGAATCGTCGCCCCTTTCAACGTAGTATCGCCCCCTTTAATAAAACCGTTACGTAGTATCGTCCCATTTACTTCAAAATTCCGATGCCCAGCGCCAAGGCTAACGCCAAATTCCTACTGCATTGAATAGACTAGTGACTAGTATAATGTTATTTGTTTAATTATTGTACGATATAACGAATAAAATATCTAATTATTCTTAATATAATGTTTAACTATATCGCCCAGAAAATTGTTTTTCGCTAATCGCCCCCTCAACATGGAAAAACGCCCACATGGGGGCGACATAGCCCCGTTGGGAAACACTGATCTACACTAAAGCCACTTTATCAGGTATCGAGCCCTTTGTTGTGGTGTCTAGCATAGTGTAGGTGTAGGCCCCACTACAAAGGCTAATAAATCAGTGGATTAATCATTTCTCAATGGCCATTCTGACGAATTCATTATTGATGGAATCCATTGTTCATTCAAACATTATCGTCAAGTATGCCTCGAATAACGCAAGTTTAAGATTAAGAAATTTTCTTAACAAAAATCTAATTATATTCTAGTGTAAAACTTGCCTGCAATAACGAAATTTACTGCATTACTAAGTTATTATTTGTCTATTGATACTGTAGCATCTGTGTGGATTCTCTTTTGTTTACCAACCTTTCAAACTGATTAACAACTTATGGAGATAATGTTTTAATTTTTGGTTATTAATTATTCAAGGAGGAACGTTTTGTTTATAGCAAATTAGTTACATGTCCCCACGTGTAATGAACATACACAGAATAGTAGGCGTACTTACGGTCCTCTAAGCCCGAGTAGCTAATTCCTACGTTATCCTCGATAAAGATACCAGAGAATAAAAATATACTTTCTGCAATAAGTAAGGAGGCTCCGATTTCTTCTTACAGTGGACTCTAAATACTCTTGAAAGATATTTCATTTATTCCCTTTTCTCAAGATTATTTTCGCATTTAAAACAAATGCCAAAGTAATGTTGCATTAAGAGAGAACACAAGAGAGGGAACAGAAGGCATACACATTCTGTATCTTTTCTTGTATATACTGTAACCTCGTACAAACAAATTTCAAAGTATATTTAACTTATAACAGAGGAATACCTCGCTATCATTAATAATGATATCTAAATATGCCATTGTTAAACCCTAACGAAATTTACTGTTAAACCAAAAATATACCTTGACATTATTGATAAATATTGGTCTAATGCCAACATTTAACTCCATTTAAAGCATAAATAATTTATCAATAGATATTAAAGATGTATGAAATTCTATTAGTTGATATACTCTTTTTTCATAATATATTTTAAAATACATTTTTAATTGTTGAACGAAATGACAGACAACAGAACAGACTGTAATAGATAATTGTAAATGTTGTACATCTTTATTACTTTTAACTTTATAAAAATTTTAAATAAATTTTGATTTTAATTTTTGGTATTTTTATCAATATTTTATAAAGATTCAGAAATTACGAGACTCCATATATTAGTGAAAATCCATTACATAACTAAATCCTGTGAATACACTGGTGACATGTGTTTAACACGTGAAAGGCACCTGTAAGAATTTAGCGGATGTACTCTACACACTATTATCTTTTCTTATAATTTTAAACAGGATATTTAGAGATATTCCTCTTTTATTGACTTCGAACTTCCTGCTTTGACAGCGGATTTGGATGTAGAACGTTATCGGTGCCGCCCTGTTTATAAGAATTTCATCTATCTTTTGAGAATGATGCAAAAAGTATTATGAAATCTTTTCTGAGAACTATATAAATAAATTTTAAACTGAAATGCTTTTATCTAGATCAGCGCTTCTCATCCCGATCGTTGTCATATGTTCAAAAATGGCAATTGCCAGAGGTACCCATTATCAGGGGCCCAAAACCGATCTTTTATAAGAAAATATTTTCCCTGAAAAAATTCCTTCAAAGAACAATGACTGAAGTCAAACTCTACGTGGGGCCCCCCTAATTCAAATTCGCCTGGGCCCCATGAAGCTATATCGCACCACTGATCGCGACATATTAGTATTAATTGGGACCTCTTGCCCCTAAGCTTTGCATATCTGGTCCCTGGAACTTTTTCCATTGAAATGATTGAAGTTTGATAATCGATTATTCATTTAAAAAATTTGCTCTCATAAAACTATTATCAGGAAAAATAACGTCAAGAGTGACTTCAAGTTCCAAGGAATACAAAGTTCATCTGGATGATAACGTACTGTACAGGTACATGCTTAACACTTCTGATAACTCATAATATATACGCGACTAGGCCTAACTGTGTATGTTACAGCACTACATAGTTATAACAAAAACCATGTATTGCTATATCTGAGTAAATTAAACGATATTAAATTTCGTGTTCGATTTAAAGAGCAAAGCTTATAAACAACAGCACTGTATATAGAGGAGTATGTAGGAGGGGTGTTTATGGTGCTGCAGTACTTCTTTCATAACAAAACAATCAGTTTGTTATTTTTAAGCAATAAAAACAACGTATATCGCATGACTGCAATGGCGGAAAACAATCTTATACAGGCAAAAACAATTTGTAAAAAGTCGGAGACACATGCCAAAAAGTGTGGAGTACATATATATACACATTACATATTAAATAACAGAATTATTCATCTTTGTTTTTTGAAGTGCGATTTCTTTTTTTCGTGTGTAGGGGATAACGATTATTATCTTAAACTTGAAGATTGTTATTGTATAGAATTATTTGTCTCTCTCTTCACTAGATGGCGACACATGAATTAATACTTCCTATCAAGGGATTATCTAAAAGAAAGATGTATTATTGAAGTTTACTATTATATTTGAAAATCTGAAATTAAAAAATGATTAATTAATTAGCAAAATCGTTGAGGTATTTTAAAAAGTGACGTCATCATACTAGATGGCAGTACGTGTACAGTACATTGGCGGCAGTGCTGTGCGATGTCTATAATTTTAACATCGATATCAAACATCGATGCTAAATTTCGATGTCGGATTTCACATCGATGTTTGATCGATGCCCATTGGAACATCGATGTTCAATCAAGATAAACTCAAACAATTTAAAAAAAAAACAAAACCAGGTTTGTTCGAACAGAAGTTCCTGACGCATGCGCAATGTCATTTTACAATGCGAAGAATAACGTGCATGCCGGTTCTAAATCAGTTACAGTTAGGGACTAGGGACTTGCGTAGGAGTAACGTAAGTAACCTAAATTAAGAAAGAACAGGTACAGATAACTTAGCTCTATTTGATACGTGTACGATCGTACATGCAAAAAAAAAGTCGACAGGGTTTTTTTTTACTATTTCCGCCCTGTGGGCACTAAGAGGGCCTTTTATAGCAGGCCCATTATGGGTTCGGCCAGGCCCACAATGGGGCGACCGGGTGGTGAGGGACGGGGCCTGACATATCCGAACAGACCACCCCCCGAAAAATTCCTGGGGATTCCTTGACCCGTCCGGATTCGATCCCGGGTCCCCCAGAGCGGTAGGCTGCCACCTTGACCGTTCGGCCATCCGGCCTCAAAGTCGACAGGTTGCGCGCCACAAGTCGGCGTAAACAGACTAACATGGCAGAGTTGCGGATGAGTTTCAATGAGTGTGAGTTCATTCACTGTTAAAATAGTGTAAATTTGTAAACATATTTGCGAGAACTTTGTTTCATCGCAATTTCACAATTTCTACGAAATTCCCGGACTGTCCGGGTGAAAACCGAACAGGTGGTAACATTAGGAACAAAGAATGAACTGCATGCATCGATGAATCGAAATTCACATATTGCTAACATCGATTCAGGATCGATGTTTCAAAAACATCGGAAGGTCGATGCATCGACGAACAAAAACATCGATGTATCGATGTCACATCGATGCATCGCACAGCACTAATTGGCGGCTTTTTTCGAATTGTTACGTATTGTGTTCGTGATTCGTTAATCCTATCTGTTTTTCGTGAGTTTTATTTATTTGTGTGAGCGAAAATTATGCCTACTCGGAAACGACAAAACCTTGTCCGATCTTCAAGGAAAAGTAAACAGGTAAGACTGTGTAGAGATTCAAGAACCCGTCTTCGAGACAGGCTAGGCTTAGTTCTCAGAGAGAACGTCAAGCCTTGGCGCAAAATCTCCAACGTACTGTACTTTCATTTATGACACTCTATTCATCATCAGATAATATTAGGTCTATGGATAAAGTGTGGGTATTGCAGTGAAAGAATGAATCACAGAGGATGTGCTGTTCTGGCAAAGTTAAACTGAATGTTGTTCTTGACCCCCGAATCTCTTCTATCACTGTTAAATGGGACTCATCTTGACACTAAACATTTCTTAAAGGACATTAGGGTCTGCCAAATGACACGTTTTGGTGCCATTGAAATTGAAAGAAATTTCATGCCAACATTCAAAATTTAAGGACAGATATATCATTTAATAGCATACCATTAATCCCGACAAAACTATCCATTTAAATTTAACCACTTACAATTTCCAGTCAATCTATGCAATGACCATTAACAATTCACAAAGCCGAAGCCTGATTTGCAGGACAATCTCAGATGCAGTTGATTTTCACATGGCCAATTCTATGTTGCATGCTCATGTGTTAGTAGCTTCAAAACTCTGTTCATTTGTGTTGCTGATAATAAAACACGAAATATTGTATATCGGGAGGTTATTCAGTAAGTTTATCTAGAAAATATTCCACATTTTCAACAGGAATATTATGAATCTGTAACTACCAATTCTCTGAAAATATACACTTTAGGTAAGTAAATATAATTTCACGAAATAAATATCTGCCGGCAACGACGGATAACACAGCTAGTAATAAATTAAAACACGAAACACAATATTTGCTTTATTCAGACACAATAACGTGACTCCTTTTAAACACTTGGCAGATTATTCATCACTTTATTAAGAAACACAATAAATAAAATACGTAAATATTGTATAATAAAATGAAAATTGCGTATACTGATCGCACATCGTGGACTTTTACATTTCAACATAGATGTCTGATTTAATTATAGTAGTTATGAAATATTTAGAAGTGTGAGATTTTATTCATTGAAAGCTGGCTTGAAACTTTTTACTTTACATTGTGTTTCTAAATCATATAGTACATTGATAAGTCAAGACTTATCATACAAGAACGAACTTCATTTAGATGGGCACTCAAATCTTTGAGCTAATCATTCTGTTAGATGCATTTCGGGTCTAGACTCCTCTTCAGCTGCAGAATATACAAAAAGTACACTGGTTCTGAGTAAAACTTTAGTAACTACATACTTTAGATACATACTTTATAACTTTAGGTAACTTTAATAATCACATAAAACCATGTAATGTTAAAAAAATTATGAAATTTTTATTCTGATACTCATTTAAGTTTTAATCTGGGGGGAGCCGAGTTAAACGGATAAAAAAAAGTTTTAATGCGAACTCAATAAAATTCCCACCTTATGTGATCGCCAGTTCATAAGTACAGTAATATAGAAATAGAAGACAATTGTTAAAAAAAAATATAGTAAATAATACGACACTAATAATTAACAAAACTCACTCAGCAAATATTTAATAGGCCATGAAAATACACTTTATGGCCTATTGAATGGGCTAAAAACGTTTAGTTTCAATAAATTATCTCGGCACTAATACGACACTATTATATTAAACATAGCATAGAATTAAAACAAAAACATTTTTGAAAATAAAACTAAATTATTAATTCTTTATTTATTAAACTGAATTAGCTTTCTGAACTTTCTGAAGTTTCTGATTCTTCTGGTTTTTTAAATTCCTTTATCTTTCTAGAAACACGAATATAATAATGTCCGTATAAAACAATTTCAAACTGTAATGAAAGTTAATAAAAGTATATCAAAATCATGATTTATTACAAATTTTGGTAAAAATAGTCAAACTAGGAAAAACTAGGTATACAGAATTTTTTAGTTCGGTATTTAGAAAATAACTTAAAACATTTAATTATTACAGTTTTCGCGTTCTTTGATTGGAAAATCACATTTTAAATGTAGCCAATCATCTTTCGAATTAAATTTTCAAATTTTAACGGCGTATTATAACTTTTTATTGTCAGTTTTTTAAACAAAGTAAATCATATTAAAAATTTTAGATGTAATTTAACAGTTTATTTTCCATAAATATACGCAATTTACCTCAAGAACGCAAACTATCGAGTTTACTATTTCATATATATTGATTCCAAAATTGATTTCTCTTGTTATCTTCTCGAAACATCCATTTTTAAATAATGTACTCTAGATTATAATTTAATATTTTAGGAAAAAATACAAAATGTATTTTCTTGTTTAATATTAAATAAATAGCTTACATTTTTGGAGAACGGTATGCTACATTTGATAGTATTTTCACTGCAACAAGATCGTGGTATTTCTGATGCTTTAGTAAATATAATCCAATCGCTCGTATTTCCAACACCACAACATTTTTTCTAAACGTTTAATATAATTATAAGTGTAGTTTTTAAAGCATAAAATACTGATCTGTGCTATAATTTTATATCTGAAGACCTACAGATTTTTGTAATTTATTCCAATTCTTCTTCATAACTTCATCTACTTCATACGTCATCAGTGTTTTATACATGTTATTTTTAATGATATTGTTTCCCTGTAATAATTATAATAATAAGTTATAAAGTATCTTAAAATCAAATAGTGTTAAAATAGTAGTACCTCATCTCTTTTTACGAGAATTCCAATACCTATTGTAATTTGAATGATGAACACTATGGCAAATAATATAGAGCACTATAAATATCCAAGCAATTTTATTAAAATTCTAAATGGAAGAGATAAAAACGAAGTTTCAAAAGTTACATATACCAGTGTCATACAGAAGAATTTTTGTTTGGTCAAAACGCAAAAATAAAAAACGGAAATTACTGCAACTGCAATACCAATACTTATAATTATTATTGGCGTGTTCGATATAATATCGTTAGTAAAAATTCCTATGTTAGAAATGTATATTTGCTTCAAAATTCCGATAGCTATGATGCCGTTTCCTCCGAGCTATATTAAGAAATAGCAAAAAGATTTTTCGTTATCAGTAGTGCAAAGAAAGAATTTATACACTTCAGTAATTATTTTTCTACGTTTAATAAATTGAAATCTATCTATAAATGTTTTATAATGAACTATATAACTACGTACTCGAGTTGTAAATAAGGGTCGCAATAAGGGTCTAGAACTGGGTTCTTAAACTCAAATGCAGTAAAGGGCCAGTCAAATAGATGTCATACGTAGGACGTATTTATTATTATTCGGTAAACCAAAACATACTGTAACTAAAAAAAGGTTCTAACAAAGGCTTTCTTTTGTTGCCAGGCCTTTAAGACTTACGCAACAGTTAGAAGTTTGAATTTTTTCTGTTTTAATTCTCGCAAGATGTTAGAAACATAGATTTTTAGAAAAGAAATCATCTGAAACTGGTCTGCCCCTGGTCTCCTCTTACCATAATATATATACAGGTAACCCCGTATAACACGGGAGTTACGTTCCAAAAAATTGCCGTGTTATGCGAATCTGTGTTATACGAAAGAAAGAACTAGTGCGAAAAGGGGGGTTAGGTTCCAAAAATTAAAAAAATATGTTGTTAAATCCTTATTTAAATCGGATTTATTATTCATTTTTTTCATAGGTAAAATACTTATTTATTATTTAAGTAAATATTTTACCAGAGGATTATTCATTTTATATGATGATCTCAGCATGAGCATCATCAACTGGCAACAGTTTGTGGGTGCGTTCGTTAATAGCGGTCGCTCTGCAACGGGAGTGCACTGCTGTTTGTTGGCATTTAGGAACGACGGTGAAAGAAAGATGGCGACGCCCGCACTATCGATAGTATTGTGTGGAGGAATCTATAATTCTAAAATGAGCTTTTAGAGGCAAAAGAAGGATCCCAATTGTATAATTTAACCATTAAATGGATTATTTGTTGAAAGAGCATTCAAAGTAGCCACGAAAACAATTAGAATGCTCGCGCGGAGTTACGCGGAGGTATAAAAGAACGCACCCTTTATTACATTTTATGCTGTACGAGGGTTTTACCCAATTCCCGAACCGTGTTACAGTGAACCCGTGCTATAAAAGCACCATGTTATACGAGAAATGTTCCCAATTCTCGAACCGTGTTAGAGTGAATCCGTGCTATAGAAGTGCCGTGTTATACGGGGTTACCTGTATATATAAACAGTAAATAGATCATACATAAAACTAATATAAGATGCTGATCTCACGTATATATTTGATACGCGGCATATTGCTCGTATCGTGGCATTGTTGGGCCATCTCTGCTATATACTTCAAATGAAACTAATATATAATACCATTTCCATTCGATGTTATATAGTCAAGTGAATATTTACGGATGAGCGACATAGTAAATGCGTTAGTTTGCCGATCTAGGGGAACCGGGTTCGAGTTCAGATTAAGATCCTCAGAAATTTTTCTTAAGAGATCTGTCTCGAATATGTCAGGCTTTGTACTCTCAACCCCGGGCCTGGAGGAAAGATTCCTTTAATGTTGTCAACGGGAAACGGTTTACAATTCTTAAAAAATGCGATTCTGTTTAATGATATGTTTATGAACATAAAATGATTTGCATGGTAGGTCTATCATATAAAATAATTTATGTACAGCTAAATTTTATTTTAAATTAGAATAAATGAAATTAGAAGTTTCATTTCCGATGATCACAAAAACGAGGTGTTTTTTTAATAATTAAGTTAAATTAAAATTAAATGAATTATACATACAATCAAAATAGTATTTAAAAAATTCAAAACACAGTTTTCGATAGAAAATTCTTTCTCTTCACCTTTGTCCATTTTATCATATCTTATTTAATATTCGTCAATGAAATTAGTAAAAATTATATTTATCTTATTTAGTGTTAAGTGCATTGTTGTTCAATATTAATTCTTACGTAATATTATAAGAATAATTATTAAAAAAATCAATAATTTCAGTTGTTTACTTTTATTAAATTCTTTTTATTTTCAAATGCCAAATGAAATAGCCGGATTCTTTATTGTGCTATAAGGCTAAATAATTAGTAATAAATTAGCCAGATACACAATCCGGCTGTTTGTTTGGTTTATTTATTAGTTAGTTTATTTATAACTATATTTAACAAGAGGCCTAGTGGCTTACCTTCTGCCAAATCGCTTAGTAATTATTTAGCCTTGTAGCTCGATAAAGAATTTGGCTATTTTGTTTGGTATTTGAAATATCTATCGGGTTAACATTTTGAAAACGATGATACGAAATTCCTTCTTTCTAGCCCTTCTATCAGAAAGAGCTGTGCAATTTCGGTCCCTATTGGAAATATGGCAGCACTGTCAATTATAAAATTGAAGCACGTAAAAGAATACATACTATCAAGTTTTTAGTACATTCCGAAATATCAAATGGGATTCAGAGCAGGCTGTCAAATATGACACGTAAATGCTTCACTTTAAAACACACAAAGATAGCAATGAATCACTCCATAATACGAATTCAAAGCGGGAGTGGTTGAATGTGAAGTATTTTCACCTGCTACAATTTTGTAATTGAGAATTAACACTTCCTGAGACTACAATAGCCTTTCCTGATAAAGGGCTGAAAGAGAAGGAATTTCTTATCATCGTTTAGCCAAGCTCACCATATAACATGCATCAACAAAAGTTTATTGTGCAAGGTGATTATAATTAAAAAGTGGGTTTCAGAGCTAGTAGAAAGAACTATTCGGTACATTCCAATCAAATTTGGTATACAGTAAAACCTGTCTATGGCGACCATCCACGGTTCCTTCAAAAAGTGGTCTTTTAGACAGGTGGTCGTCCAATACGGGTGGTGCCGTAATACCGTATTTCTACTAAGCAAAACTCGAGGCTAGCAAAAATAAGCGAATTTTTTCAACGATAGGGTTATATTGGTATTGTATTTTATTCTTATCGGATAACCCGATTTACAGGAGTCGTCATGATATTATAAGACAGATTTAACACCAATA